GCAGACACCCACAGATAAATACTGAACTGAAGTCCTGGAATTCAGTTGCAGGGATGGAGGAATGATGAGCAAAAGGGTAAAGACCAGGCTGAAGAAACTCACAGAAACAGCTGACCTGGACAAGGGGGAGCTCATGGGCTCCAGACTAATAACGGAGAAACCAGCATAGGACCAAACCAGATGCCCTGATTATGGGTGTCAATTTGGAGGCCTGGGCAATCTATGGGGTCTCTGGCAGTGGATCAGTATTTACCCCTAGTATACCAATTGGCTTTGGGAGCCCATTCCACATAGAGGAATACTCTCTCAGTTTAGGCATATGGGGTAGGGCCTAGGCCCTGCTCCAAATGATATGACAGACATTGAAGATCTCCCATCGAAGGTCTCACCCTCTCTGGGGAGCAGAAAGGGGATTGGATAGAGGGTTGATGGAGGCCAGGGGAAGAGGGAAGGGAGAGAACTAGGATTGGCATGTAAAACTAGCTTGTTCTAATTTATATAAAAATGGGGGAGAAACTTGGCTTATGGGTACTGCCTTAAAGTCAGAGAACTGAAAGAAGTAACCTAAGCATATGGGACCAGGAAGTAAAATGACATTGGCATCCTAATATCTGACAAATAAACTTCAAAGAAAAATTAGTCAGAAAGATAATGATAAATAATTTGTTTGGTTAAGGGATCAGTAAACCCAGAAGGATTATGCAAAAAACTCTGTCATGCCTGATCTCATTACATTACTAGAGTTAAAGGCAAATATAAATAGTATGTGATGTTAATACTTCATTTCTCCAATAGATAATTAATTTGGACAAAAATAAACAGAAAAGTCAAACTCGAATGATAATTATACATCAACTAGATATAACAAATATCTACATAATATTGTACTGAAGCACCAAAGAATATGCATTCTACTTATTAATTCAAGAAGGCAGTTTCTCTAAAATAGACCACATACTAGGACACAAAACAAAACTTAACAATTTCAGAAAAAAATTGAGTAACTCCATATATATTTTCTGAATGTATACAATAAAGCTCCAAATCAGCAACAAATGAATACCTAGAAATCCTACATATATTTTAATACAACTAAAGAAATTAGGTGAAAGACACCAACAATGAAAATGTAAACTGTCTGAATGAAAATATTAAGGAAAACATTAGGATGGAAAAAGCTGCCATGCTTATGGAGTATTAAGATAATACTGAGAAAAATGAGCATTACACCAAAAGCATAATAACCCAGACCTAGAAGGACAAATACCACATACCTTTTCTTAGTTATTTTTCCTAGCTCCAAATATTTATATGTTACTTTATAACTGGAATTTCTGCATTAAACAAAATGAAAGGTGGCCACTGGTAGGAGAAGGAGGAACTTTAGCAAAGGAAATAGGGGAAGGGGATTATGAATGAGGAATTAGAAAAATGTGGGAGTTTCAACTAAGGAGGGAAAGGGAAGGAGATATTAAGGGGGCGAGATGGAAAGAGAGATCAATAATACAACTTGGAGTCATTGTTTGATGTTTTCTCAGAATTACACTCATACACAGACAAAGTTGTGCTGCGTGGGGTGATAATCATCCAAGTCTCCAATCAAGAACCTTAGAATTTCTAACAAAACCCCCATGCTAAGTAACTCCTGTTGCTTCTGTTGCCTCCCAGAAAGTGAATTTAAGTCCTTATTGCTGAAGGTACTCTTTGGACATATGACTTGTAGGAGGCAAGCTGGATCTGACTGTGAAGTCTCCCTCTTCATGAAGAGGAAGAGCTATTCAAGTTGCCAAGAAAAAAAGGTTGTTAACAGACAGTCCAGTTTTGAAATCTACAAACCACAATATTGATCAATACCATAAGATGTCCCCAAAGGTGCAATGGTGGATTTGGTGGTTGTGGTGGGGTTGGTAGTTTGTAACAAATATGTAATTGGACTTAAGCCCTGCTCTATAGGAGGGAATTAACAATTGATACTTTAAGTCAGGCGTTGGTGGCGCACGCCTTTAATCCCAGCACTCCGGAGGCAGAGGCAGGTGGATCTCTGTGAGTTTGAGGCCAGGCTGGACTGACAGCCTCCAAAACAGAGAAACCCTGTCTCGTAAAAAACCAAAAAAATAAAAGAACAAACAATTGATACTTTAAACCTAGTCATCTTCCCATGGCAGATAAAGTAATATGCATTAGAGCCCATAATACTGCAGCTTTCCTATATCAGTTTCTGTTGCAGAATGTTTCTTTACACTGTGTGAGGATGTGACACTCTGATTGCTTTAATAAAGACCTGAATGGCTGATACATAGGAAGGAAGAGGTTAGGCAGGATTCTGGGGACAGAGAAGTCTCAGAGAAGAAGTGGAGATCACCAGTCAGATGGAGAGAAAGGAGTGGATGTAGGGGAGAAGTAAATGCCAGGAACACAGAGATTAAAATACATGGGTTAATTTAAGTTTTAAGAGCTAATGAGACAAGTCTAAGCTAAGGCTAAGCTTTCATAATTAATAAGAAAGCTTCATGTCATTGTTGCTCGAGCTGGAAGTACAGAAAATGACTCATTATGTGTCAATTCTAAATGCATGCATTCTAAACACTTTTCCTTATTTTGCAGATTTAAGTACATCATAGCCCTCCTAACTATTACCAAAGCCACAGGTGGGAAAATTTGCAAAATAAAGAACTTCCTGTGGGGAGCCCAGCTCCTATATCTACATAGTTCAACTCCTATATCTAAGGATAAGAAAATAATTGATGGTGAAGTAACAGAAGACTTATGAACCAGAGGACCAGTGTGTCTGTCTTGTGTTGTCTCCTATACATGACAGGAAAGATAAATTGTAATCTCATGAACATGGGTCTTTAAATGATACCTATACAATAACAAAACCAGTTACCATGCCAATGTGCATGAGGAAAATCACATAAAACCTCATCCTTACAACAGACAGGCCTGCCAGTACAGTAGTGGTACAAATGATATTGGAGTAATCAACAACTTTTTGATCGTAAATAGGATCCACTCCATGATGGGACCCATACGAGGTACTGATAAATGGTCAGTAACCTGAGACTAGATAGGCCTATGATTATTTTGCAAAGTGAACATAGCAATAAAATAACTCTTAAGGACATACAAGGTTTGATCTATAGATTGGAGTATTGATCATACCACATCAGAAAAATCATCTGAGAATTAACATAGAGTCCAGCAACTGGACAATATGCAGAGTAAGACTTTAAAACACTAAGGCCTAAATGGGATAATCTTCATCAAAGCCCTCCCCTCTATTATGAGGGATCTATATGGAAAAGGAAGAGGAAAGACTGTAGGAGCTAGTGGTTATGGATGACTTCAAGTAAACAAGGTCTTCCAGAAACAGCAGGACTCATACAAGCTCAGAGAGACTGTGGCAGTACATATAAGACCTGCACAAATGTGATCTCAGCACTGAGAGAGGCAAGTACACATGAGGACTCAACACTAATCATGAAACTCTCTGTATCTCATATGTACTGGCAAAGGGAAAATCACTTTTCTCCAGTAGAGTATCGCATATACTGAATACTAGGACATGTCTCATGTCCAAGGATAGTTTGCCAACACAAGAAGAATTCAGTGGTATATGTGTGGACATGTTCAATTTTTCTTTGCTTTCACATTTTTTCTTTCATTGATATTTTGCTTATTTGTTTTGATTTTTGCTTTCAACGATTTATGTGTGTTTCTTGATTTGTTTTAGTATGTTTTTGTTTTGCTTTGTTGTTGAATGAGAGGGAGAGATAAAAAAGCCACAAAGCTGGGTGGGTATGGCAGTGGGATGGATCTGAGAAGAGTTGGGGAAGGCTCATGATCAAAACATATTATATGAGAAATTAAAAGAACAAAAACAAATACACTTTTAGATGGAGAGCTACAGAAAATTAATGGCTTCTGTAAGAGAAAGAGTTTTGTCAGTCTTCTACAGGGGTGATCTTCCTATTTTGCTGCCCAGTGCCAAATGTTCAGCCCTAAATATCTATAAGTAATACAAACACTAAATAGAGCAAGATGAGTGTGCGCATGAGTGCGTGCGCACGCGTGCGTGTGTGTGTGTGTGTGTGTGTGTGTACTTTTATGAAGTATTTAGAGATACAGAGATCATGGAATTTTGATGGGAATGGGGGCATGCAAAGAAGTTGGAAGGAGCAGAGCAAGTTCTGGAAATATCAAAGACTTTAAGTAAAATCAACATATTATTGTCACACCCTTTTCACTACAAAAATTAGGACCTTATGAAACGATTAATTATGATATCTTATGAAGATTTCTTTTAATAGATTATGTGTGTATATAAATTGTGTGTTCCCACAATTGCCATTTCTCAAAACATTGTCAAGTAATTTAAATGTTAACAAAACCTGAAATCAAGTGAGTATTTAAAGTTATTTTTTATGAGCATGTTGAATGCCTTTATTTACTTTTATTGTCCTTAACTATAAGCAGGAGTCACTATTATAAAAGTCATTCTCTAAAATGCTAAATGATATTTATTCAGAGCTTTCATTGGTAGAGATAGTTAAGAAACAGATATAAATGTATCTGTCAGTCCATGATTCAATAATAAAATAGCATCCCCAAAGTTGTATGAATTGCAGTAGCTTAACACAAAATATCACCTTTGTAACAGAGAGTAAAATCAGTAGTAAGCAATGTCTTTCTCCTATTTATCTTTAAATATGCCTTTCAAAGTTTACAAATTGTCTGATGAAGCTTTACAAATTACACATTTAATGGTTTTATCATCAATTTTAAAAGTACGAATAAAGAGCTAAATATTAAAAATAAGATCTAAAATTAACATATATTTCCTATGTACCACTTTGTAATTCATGTAGAAAGATCAAGTGGCATGATTAGAAGAAGAAAGTAATCCCCACTCTTTATCTTATTCGTGCAGTCATTCTTTAAGTAGCTAACTTTTAAATCTCCAAGACAAGAACTACGTTATTTTGTCTTTTGGAAATTACCTGGGCACTTCATTTCATCTGAATAGTCTCCACAGTCATTAGACCCATCACATATCCAGCTTGGCAAAACACACAGTGAGGTAGAGTTACATCTTATGAATCCTGTGGCTTTCACTCCAAGTTTATAAAAATGGGCACAATCTGTATTATCTAGAATGATTGAAAAATGAAATTAAATCCATATTTTCAAAAATTATGAAGGTCATAGAAGCAAGAAAACTTAACATCATTAAAGAAGTAAATGCACAATTATACTACACAGCAGGGTTAGTGTAGTATATCAATTCTGGAAGAAATTCAGGAAAACTTGAACAGTGTTCAACTCAATGTCAACATGTGTTCAGCCAAGAACAAATAAGGAAGTAGTAATTCTTACTGCAGTTCTTTTCATCTGAAGCATCTGCACAGTCCATGTTTTGGTTACATCGTGCTGATCTTGGAATGCAAGTACCATCTGCACAGCGAAACTCAACTGTGGAGCAGGTTGACACTATAAAAACACAGTAGATAAGTAAATGAGTAAGAGATTGAAAACTACCTTTGCTTTATATTTTGAAAACTTTGATCAATTTACTCAATGCTATTTTAGTTTTATGTTTGACTGTATATGTCTAAAGTGACACTCTGGCCCTCCATCCTTCATTTCAATGTGTCTTCTATGTCTTCTGTTTCTATGTGATTCTGTCTTAAGTATGGATTTCATCACACACATGCAGGATGATGTACCTTAGAACCCCCTATGGTATAGGTTCCATTAAAGGAGGAATTACATCTTATTTGATCTGATCATATGAATCTAGCACTGAAATAGCACTAAAATTGCAATGAAAGTTCTATCTCCTTCCATTTTCTATAGTATAAGATCATGACTTGAAGCAAGAGTATGACAGCATCCTACAGAGGAATCCTTTCTGCTATAGAAACAGACATAAGTAGGAGTGAGAAAAGAAAAGAAGTGGATACTGGGTTTCTTTTATTACCCAGAAGGGAAAATTGAGATTTATCATTGATTTAAAAAGCCATCTATATGTTGGTATATGTTGTAGATGAAGATATTACTGCTTGACCATTTTGTTAGTATTTATCATAGCAAAGGCAGATATCTCACAGCAACAAACATATTTATTGTGTCTCACTGACATTATTATAAAAGTATGACTTTAAAATTCTCTATGCTTAGATAAAACTATGTTAAAGAATTTTAATTTTCATATATACAGGTTTTAAATAGTACATTGTTGTTAATTATACATTTATTTCTAGGTTGCTTAACCATCCACTATCATGTACTAATTTTCAGCATTATGTTATGAATAGGTATATGGTATTCTATGTATGTTACATTAAATTGAATGAGATTTTTATTCCAATTTTAATTTCCACAGGCAGATTAAATCAATGGATAACATAAAACACTGTTTAATTATGCAGCTTTTACTTACATTGATATTGTAAAGTGCCTATTTAATTATAAACAGAAATTATATCAATTGAAAATGGGTTTAAAAACAATCTTAAAAAATGCAAATTTTACTCAGGGGTATATATGTCATTTGTATTTCATAAAACACTGCTCTTATTATATTTAATTGTATCTTGAAATTGCATACTTATTTGTGTTTAAATGATGATTAGAATAAATGTTTTACTTATAATTTGTGATTAAATTTGCTTCACTGTTTCTTCATTAAAAATAACTTAACAAGGGAAACAGATAATGCCATCAGCAGTAGAGATAAATGCATTGTTCCACAAGGGAATAATAATTTAAAATCATCTTTAATATACCTTTCTATTTCATTTCATGTTGTTTCCTTTCAGTAGGAATAGTAAATACATAATATAGGAAGTACACGTGTCAGTCATTTAGACTTTGTTATTTAACCTATCAGTCTTTCATTAACTATAGTCCAAATGCATTTCTTTATGAACTAACACTACAGATACAGGAAAACCTACAAATGAGCAAGTAGAAAATCCATGAAAGGAGCCAAGGCCATTTTAACACAACTGTACCACCATGTTGTCATCTCCTTCAAACTACCACAGGAAGTCATCCATACAGAGGGAGGAAGTACATCTGAAGAATGGGTAAGGTAGTGAAGAGGAAAGTTATGACCCCAACTATATATCCTGACTACAAAGAACACTCAAGGATCAAATATCTTATAGTTACAGAGTTTCATATGTAACACTGGAAGCTCTTGTGAAAACCAGGAAAAGAAAAAGTGAAATCAGTAGAATTAAGAATTGGGGTTTCATTGTGAAAATAAAAATAACAAGAATGATTAAATAATATGTTAAAAGGAAACACAACTATGAAGTTGAATAGAGTTGTTAGAGAACAATACCAAGTAACTGATGAGCAGGATGTTAGGAGAGTGAGGCTGAGAGTAGAAAGTATGGGATACATTTCTGATTTTCTTTCCCAAAAAAGAGTGTTTGAGTTTTTTTTCTGTGAAATGACACTATGACCAAGATAATCTACAGAAGAAAGAGTATGCATCTCACAGTTCCAGAGTTCATAACCATCATGGCAAGGAGAATGGCTACAGAAATTGGGCAAGCAAAAATGGTGCTGGAGTAGCAGATGATGAGAACTCACATCTGAAACATAACCATGAGGCAGAGGGAGAGAGCTAACTGGAAATTGCATGGGCTTTTAAGACCTCAAAGCCTACTGGAAGAAACAGACCTCATCCAACAAAGCCAAATCTAATCCTCCCCAAAAGTCCCACCTATTGTAGATCAAGTATTCAAACATATGCACCTGTCAAATTTAGTTATTCAAACTATAAAATAGGGTTAGTAAATCCTGGGCATATGAATGGACTATCATAAAGATATTATAGATGGCAAATGGAACTGATTGCATTCTTTACATGTCTTCTCTGATTGGAAGCCACATGAATGTTAAACAGCAATGAATGGGGAAATATTGGGCGTTTTTATTGTGGGTACAGAATTCTATAAGCATTAGGGTCAGAATGGTGGTAGAAGATTATGACTTGAACATTATTAGTCAATGAAGTCATTTAAAAGAGGAAATGTCACTCCACCAATTCTAGTGTTAAACACATGATCTCCAGTATTATGTGCAAGGTATGCTATAGCTGGAAGGAGTAGCTGCTTATTGGGTTGTGCCTCTGAAGCTTAGAACTGCCTAAAAGTCTTTCTGCGTGTCTGCCGTCTTTCTGCCATGAGGTAAGTAGCCCCCTCTAAGCTCTGCCACAGTCATGGGGAACTGCCTCACCATGATCTAAAATGATGAAGCCAAAACCATGCCCTTTGAGACCATGAGCCAATAAAAAAGCTGTTTTATGCCTTTGTTCCAGGTATATGCGTCATACTGATGATAAACCATTCCAACAGGCAAATAGCAGTAATTTCGTTAAGTAAGTATGTTATTTCCTTTTCTACCTCTGTGACAGCACAGGGCAAAGACAACTTACAGGAGGAAGCGTTCATTTGACTTACAGTCCCAGTGGCAGAGAAGTCTATTGTGGTCAAAAATGATGGCAGGAAGACACAAAGAAGGAGGCAGGACCAGAAACTAAGAGCTTAAATCTCAAATCACAAAGAGGAAATAGAGGGGAAATGCAAAATGGCAAATTCATTAAGAACTCAAAATCAGCATTGGTGACATACATTTTTCCAAGAAGGCCACACTCCCTAAGGTTAATACAACAGGGACACCAACTGGTAACAAATATGGAAGTACTTGTGAATATTGAGGATATCTCATTCAAACCACATAATAAAAAAACAAATGTCAGTTCTGGGAAAGAAAAACTAAACTCACTACATGTTCCTTCAATTACATTCTTAGGGTGGTTTCTGAGGGAGAAATATTGAAATTTCTAATTTGACAGGTGGAAAAGAAAGTTGCCTGATAGTTTCCCCAGACTAAAAGTCGTGAATAAGAGAGAAAAGAAAATTATTTGGTTCAAATAAAGATAGGCCAAGTATGAAATATTCAACTTTATCCTCAAGATAGTCCAAAAGAAGACATTAGAGTACAGAACACTAGTAAGAACACAACCACATACACACCAGGAATAGAAATGAGATACGACAAAATCAGTTTCCACAGGGATAATGGAACAAAAGGAGCAGTAAGATGAAAATAAAAACTGTAGGCATTTTGGGCAGATCAGATGGGACAGGCATCCTTGCACTCCGGAGTCACAGAATACTAGGTGTTACACAGCTCAGATGGGAAGATATCCTGGAGCTTGGGAGCCAAGGACTACCACAGGCCACAGTAAGCATAGCAGCTTACAGTCCTGCCTCAGGGAAAGGCTTCCCCTGTGTATAGGCTCTGCTCCAGCCAGGAGAGGGTCTTCCAGCTGGGGATGGTTGCCCAATGTAGCAGTTTTATTCTGGCAGGAGAAGGTTTCCAGGGGAAGTTACTACAGTTCAGTTCTGCTCTCGGGAGAGTGGAGAATGGAGTATAACAACTCTGCTCTGCCAAGGGAAGGTTTCCCCTGCAAAATTGTTACAGCCCTGTTGCTCAGCTCTGCCCAGGGTGGTCTCTGCTCCATTGCAAAAGTTCTTCACCCAAAGCTCATTGAAGGGGTCTATTGGGAGGGAAGAATCTGAGAGAGTGGCTGCCCTCTGCCAGAGTGGCACAGGATAGTCGAGTAGCAGGAACAGGGACAAACTGAGCAGACACTGGGTTAATATAGGGTCTCCAGGGTGGGGATTGGTCAGGTTTTAATCACCTGCTCAGGGATTGGCTAGTTTTCTGCACAGGGTTAGAGTTAGATTGGGCTCTGGTTTTAGGGCCAAGGTGTCTTTCTTTCACTAGCCAGCATTTTGGCTCTAGTTTTAGGGCCTGGGTGTATTCCTTTCATTGGCTCTGATTCCAGGGGCAATGTGTGTTTCTTGGCACTTGTTTCAGGGTCAGGGTTATTTCTTTGGTTCTGGTTGCAGGGCCAAAGTGTCTTTCTTTGGCTCTGCTCAGGGTGGGATTTTTGTTTGTTTGTTTGTTTGTTTGTTTGTTTGGCTCTGCCCAGGGTGTGTTTCTTTGGCTGGCCCCTTTTCCCTACAAAAGCCATTTATACTTCCATATACATTCCTAGTTTTCTTTTCTTCCATTCTTTTATTTTGTCAATTAAAATATATTATAAGACAAAAAAGACATAAAGTGAATAGGCCTTTCTGTGGTTTACAGGGTAATTCTTATAAATAACTGAAGTTGATTCTCTCATCTTGCTCTCCATGTTATACAAAAAAATGAAGATATAGAATTTTTGTATGTGTACAAAACAGAGGAAACCCCAACTAATTCATTTTAACATTTATTTCCACTCTAATGTTGTGGATAAGAGATACAGAAAAAGGGTAGTATATATATAAAGTGTAAATAACTTGCAAATAGTTTTGCCTCCACCTCTGACTAAAGCTTATAAAATCCTGAGTGTTTATATTGACTGTTTTGTTTGAGATTCCAACCTATGGTTTTGTTGAATCTAGGCAAGCCTTCTG